CCCTCCTTGGCCCTGTCCCTTTATAGATACAATCAGAGAGTCATTTCCCTGAAACTGTACCATGGACCATTCCAGACCGTAAATTGCTCTAAATCAGAAACCAATCATGTACAATATCTTGGACATTTTACTTATTAACATTTCATCAGGTGCATCAGACCATATGGAAAGCCAGCTTTTCATAGTTATTAACGGTTGATGAGGGAAACTACACAAGGACCTCACATTCTGCCTGTAGCAACAGGGCAAGATCACCTCCCACTGTGGCATGATACCTGCCTTGTCCTTTTCCTCCTGAAGGGCATTCTGCAAGATTCAAACGTTCGCTCCGACTCTCTCCTTCTCCACCTGCCCCCTCCACTTTTGCACCAATAAGATGGTGCAACAAACTGCTAGAAGCGCAGTTTTTCCCCACAATGAAATAATTTAACATGGCATTTGAAAGAAAGCAGCACACTGAGAAATGACACTTAACTCAAGACAGCAGCAGGCTTCCAGGCCTGACCTAGGACATTTTGTTGGGTCAGGCATAGCAGCTGATCGTTCCCCTCCTCAGCCTTGTCAAAGTGCATAGTACTCAAAGCCAACCAAAGCATTTTGGTAAAGGAGGCAGAAAACCCCAGAAGCACCTCTCCCTATCCTCAGCAATAAAAATAGAGAAGCAAAGTTTTTAAGTAACCATGAGTTTGCCTACGGATTCCCAGTGAGGTGTAGTGGATCGAGTGAGTAGGACTGGAGAACAGGTTTCAAATCCCCACTTGGCCATGGAAACTCATTGGAAGACTGGAACTGGTAAAGCCACTCCTTAATTAATCTCACTCACCTTGAAAGCCCTATTAGGGCTGCTGTAAGTCAGTTCTGACTTGATGGCACCGGATACACAACATTGATTTGCCACTCTTTCATGCCACTCAAAATCTGCCTCATTCAGCTCCATTCTGCTGAATCCTAGGATCTACAATTTGGTGAAATAATTAGAATTCTCTTCAGGAGACCTCACAGGAGCAATTCTGCTGAGAATTTTAAGTATCTCACCAAATGATAACATCAATGATAGCACAGGACGGAGTCATGGCAGCTAAAGTAGTAACAATCAGCTGTAACAATATAGTGCAGATCAAAGGTGCCCAATTCATATTGGCTACCCTGATAGTCACACTGTCAAAGTCATCATCAGGACAAGTCACCACAACCAAGGTTTTACTATGAAACCTCTCTTGCCTCATTCACTGTTATAAATATGGTCCAGATGTTGCCCATCTTCATTATGCCATCTTCATCCTGTGTTTTAAAACCCCTCCTTCCACCATTCTTTTTCTTCTCACAATAATAAAACAATGAAGACATTTTGGAATTAAAATAGAAGAGCTGCACTACCTCATTATTATTGTTGTTGTTGTTGTTGTTAACAATGAAGACATTTTGGAGTTAAAATAGAAGAACTGCACTACCTCATTGTTGTTGTTGTTATTGTTATTGTTGTTAAAAAACACCAGGCACAATCACAATTATAAAAACATTGACTGGCATTAAAAACACCAGACACAATCAAAATTATAAAAACATTGACTGGTATTATATAACAGATACAAGTTTTAACCAAAATACTAAGTATCTGTTAAATACTGTCACAGTATGAATGTTGTTCCTAATATTGTCATTATTTGTAGTTCTGATGGTGTGATTTCTGAGATCTGCAACTGCTTATAGTATTGTGTAAAAGTTATTAATATTGTTCCCAAAGCCCCAATGACTACGTGGACCACTGAAGTGTGTTTCTTCCACAGGCGAGGTATTCTGATTGCCAGGTCTCTGTACTTTTGTTAGTTTTTCCAGTTTTTTATTTTCAACTCTGGCATCCATTGGAATTGCAATGCTAATGATCCAGGCATTTCTTTGTTCTATTACTACTATGTCTGGTGTGTTATGATGAAGGTGTCTATCAGTTTGGATTTGGAAATGCCACAAGATCTTGACTTCCTCATTTTCTGACACCTTCTCTACCTAATGTTCCCATGGGTTTTCGGAGGCTGGCAAGTTATATTTTTTGCATGATGACCAGTGCACTAATTTTGCCACTTTATCATGTCTAACTTTGTAATCTCTTTGTGCAATCTTTGGACATTCACAGATGAGGTTTGACAATTTCATCTTCTTCTCAGCAGAGTTGACATTTGCTGTTAGCACTAATTCCTTGGCTCTCAGTTTTCATCAAATTGGTTTGGAGTGCTTGTTCTTATGCAGCAAAAATCAAGCCTTCGGTTTCATTCTTAAGGGTCCTCAGTTTTAGCCATGCCCATTTTGAATTATGATGACACTTTTCCATCAATATTTCTCAGGTGTTGTCCATGTAGTGGTTTGTTTTTCTAGTTGTTTAATTTATTTTTAAATTGTTGTTTCTTATATTGGGTCTTTGTTTCTATTGTTTTCAAAATATTCTCCACTTGCACTGCCTTAAGTAATTTTTCTCTACTTGTTCTGATAAAACCATTTAGGCTTTTTTCCTCTTCTATTCCTGCTGTATCGGCCTCCGACACTTTTCCATCAATATTTCTCAGGTGTTGTCCATGTAGTGGTTTGTTTTTCTAGTTGTTTAATTTATTTTTAAATTGTTGTTTCTTATATTGGGTCTTTGTTTCTATTGTTTTCAAAATATTCTCCACTTGCACTGCCTTAAGTAATTTTTCTCTACTTGTTCTGATAAAACCATTTAGGCTTTTTTCCTCTTCTATTCCTGCTGTATCGGCCTCAAATTGTTTGTGGTAAATATAATCTGTCCACATAACTTTTGGGATGTAGTGCGTGATGCATGTTCATTAGTTTCCATGTTTTTTGATCCAATTCTTCTAATCTGTTTTGAGTCCAATCTATTATTCGAGTTGGGTATCTAATTACTGGAACTGTCAATGTGTTTATGGCTTTGATTGTATTTCTACCATTCAATTTAGATTTTAAGATTCCCCACAGTCTTTTGATATTCCCTTTCTGTCAGTTCTTTAACTTTTGTATGCATAATGTTATCTGCTTGTAGTATTCCAAGGTATTTATAATTTTCATCACTTGAGAGTGATTTTATAACACTGCTGTTTTTTAACTCTATTCCATCAAGTTTTTGGATCTTGCCATGGTGTATAGACAGAGCCACACATTTGTCAATTCCAAATTTCTTCTGGATATCTTCACTAAATATGTGCACTGTGTTTAGCAGTCATTCTATCTCCGTGGAACTTTCTGCATATAATTTTAGGTCATCCATTTATAACAGATGGTTGATATTTCCTGCTTGTTCTAAAATATGGTTGTTGTTGTTTCCTCAGCTGAGCTTTAGGTGGCCTATGTGGCTATCCTTTTTGATCCTATTTGATCCACACAACAACTCTGAGGTAAATCAGGCTGAGAAAATGAGAAACACTTTATCTGGACACAATCTTTCATTGGGAGCATCATGATGGTAGAGAATTTTTAAAAACATTTTTTTTGCCCAGGAAACAATGTTGAACACATAGGTGAAAGTTTAACTCATACTGTAGCACTCACACAATAAATTCTGCTTATTCCTTTTCAGCATGACAGCAGCTTTTATTTGGGAACTATTATCCCTCCCCCACCCCACCCCACCCCACCGGTGTTTCAGCAGGCAGACTCTTTATTTCTACCACGTGTGCCCTGTCCTCCCAAACACATGTCTTACAGATTATCTCACCTTCTGCAGGAAACTTCTGAAATGGTGATGCCGTTACTATACTCTGTGTGACAAGAGGGAGAGACTGCTGCCATTATTGTCTGCCCTGGAAACCCAACAGAACATTTCCTTATTTTAATGTGTTTGGATGGCAGTGGAGCAGACACGAATGAACACAATCATCTTTTGTCACTGTCTCTCTCTCGCACACATACAGAACACTATACATCTGCTCCTTCCAAGAAAACTTTCCATATGTAGTAGCATCTAGGAAAGCCTAAAACTATGGATAAGAAACCAGCCAGGTGCAATAGTCAGGGACAGCAAAAGACGACAAGATTTACTATGCTCTTCCGTTGTCTTTTTTGGTTCTGTTGAACGCCTCTTCGTTATTTCCCTCATTTCATGAACCAATAGTTAGAATATGAGAATATTACTTGCCTGGATGGGAACTTTCATGGCCATGTTAGCAGGAGATGGGGGGGGGGGCTGTAGTCTCAAAAAGTAACTTTTCCAGGTCTTATACTCATCCCCACCTCACTTGCCCACATATCTCTCCCTAAGAAGTTTTGATAAATATATGCAGCCACAATCTAACTAAATGTGCCTCTGAACCTCAAGGTTCCCCCTCTCCTTACTAGAGAAGGAAGCAGCCCTCATCCCCTCTTCAGTCGGTTAATAGGAGAGCAAGACCGATTCCCAGATTTCAAACCACCCATTCAATATTGCTGTGTTACCCCACTCCCCTAGTCAGTCCATTAGACTCGGAAACGCATGCCTTTAACTCTGAAAGAAGCTGCAATAAGTTAAAAGGGGGTTGCTCACAGATACATAGGCCTGGACCTTGTACAGTAACTGCTTTGTCTTTTCCCGGACTCATTTTATAACATCATGCCATCAAGTACTCCCCAATTTCTAAACTTGCCTCCAAAGAGAATCAGGCTGTCAATTTTTTTTAAAGCAGTATAAGGTGCAAACTTCAACAGGGAATACATATATGTTTCCATGGAAAGCTTCACGGGGGGTTTCCTGCAAACCTGAAAGCACCGGAGCAGCCTGGAGCAGGTATTTTTTATGATCAGACAGCAGCCTTACCTGGACCTCTCCCCCCCGCCCGTCCCTTCATTGTGCTGGGCCACTGTTGCTGCCCCACCGTTCCCCTTCTCCCACCAGAAACAGAACTAGTTTTGTGGGGAGAGGGGGGTCTCCGCGCTTTCGCCCAGGATGTTTTCCAACCTGCCCCCCCCGCCCCGCCCCGCGAACTCCCTGGGAACCCAGCCTGCCGTCCCGGGTGGCGGGAGTTTCTGGCCCGACTCACCAGACGGCCATTCTCTCCTTGGGGTACCTCAGCCTCTCCACGCAGCCCAGGAAATAGGGCAGGGAGTGGGCAGCGTTCCGGGCGAGGATGGCTAAGAACACGGTGGGCTTCTGCAAGGCGGATTCCGGCAGGGGCGCCTCCGGGCTCAGCACCTCTTGCGCGGCTTCCTCCGGGGCCGAACTGGGCGTGCAACGGCCCGTCTCCAGCCAGACGACGAAGAAGATGGGGCAGCACCACAGCAGCCGGCGGAGGAAGGTGGCGGCGGCGGCGGCGGCGAGGGTCGAGGGAGCGAGGATCGCAGCCATGTTTGGGCGGGAAGAGGCAGAGACGGGATCGCCTCAGGGAGCCTGCTTTGCTTATGACGGCTGAGAGGAAAAGCTGGGCGAAAAACTCCCGGGCGTACCTGTGCGACAGGCTGGAAGGGAAGGGAAGGGAAGGAGACGGAGTTGGGGAAGGCTGCCCGGGCACGCGTCTTTTCAGTTTTTCTTTTTTTATTTGCTCAAAGAGGGGTAGGAGGAGGAGGAGGGGATAGATGGATGGAGGAGGCTTTTCCTACTCCGCAAGCGGCGGATTGGTGGTGGCAAACCTGCAGCCAATCGCCGCCCTTCCCACCTTCGCCGCAATTAAAAGCAGGACAATGCGTGCTTTCTCATTCACCTTCTTCCGATCACATCAAGTGTCGTGAGATTATTATTACTGCTGCTGTTATTATTGTGGTGGCTAAAGCAAAACTAACAATAGGCGTGGCAAGAAAAGCAAACCATGAAGAAACAACGCACGCCATGCAAAAATGTACATCAACTAGGATTTTTATTTAGTGTTTTTTTACCCCTACCAGGCCGAATTATATCCGTTATACGTTGAAGGGACGGTATGTCGTCTAAGCAGAGTTTGGGTGGTGAAATTCAGGGCTGTCCGGCCACATAACGGCTGCAGAGGAGGGCGTTTAAAAAAAATTCTCCCTCAAACTGTGGTATCAAAGGGAAAGATGGGCTAGTGTTCGTCTACATTAGTGGGTATTCAAAAAAATTTAGATCAATGTATGTTGCCCACGTGTACCTGTGGTCCAGAATTCTGTCCCTCAGTCTAACAGCCTCACACTGAGGAATGTACAGTCCAAACCTATTTCACTGGGTACCTTCAAATATTTTGGACTACAATTCCCATTGGCCCAAAATGCTGGCTGGCGATTAAGGGATTGTTCCACATATCTGAAGGGTGCCAAGTTGGAGAATGTTGGTTTATTGCTGACAGTTCACGCATAAAGGCACACCTGCATGAATCTTCATCTTCCTTCAAATCCCTTGTCAAAACTTTCTGTATTACAGTAATCGTTTTATGTAATAAATTCTGCTACTGTCTAGAACAATTTAGACTACATGTTTTGAGGTTTCTCCCTTTTTTGGAATTTTCTTATGGCTCCCCTGGTCCATTTCCAACTAAGATGTTGGCCAAGATACCATAATCAGTGGCACTTGCTATGCTAGCCTAGTCACCTACACATAAGTCCCAGTGAATCCAGTGTTTATTCCCTTGGAGTAAATCTAATTAGTGTTGCAGCTGTAAGGATGTGGATAAGTGCCAGGACCCCCAGTTCCTTGATATACTTGTTAAGAGTACCACGATACATCACAGGGATACATGCTTTTGGTAAAGCCACTGGCAATGGTGCGGCTAAAAGCCACCATACATCACAGGGATACCTGCTTTTGGTAAAACATGCTCAACACTGGGCTTCAGAACTGAACCAGCCAACTCCCCCTCGGAACCAATCGAATTACTGGGCTGAGTAACATAGTGACCGCCCTGATGGAAGATGCTAGTGACACTTATCTTGGCAGATTGCAAATGTTTACCTGTCTTGGAAGACAGACCAGAGTATGCCAAATAGTCTCGTCTCACCCCATAAACTAGCATGCTATCCAGTGTTCAGCACTGAATAGAATTTCCAGATCTAAGCAGAAAACTCGGGGAATTACAGTTTTCTGGGTCTCCATGCAGGATTTCAGGCCAAATGGTACTGGACAAGATGAAAGCTTGCTTTTGTTGTGTGTGGTGATTTTAACATGGTGGCCTTCATCTCCTCCCTGTTTTCCCAGTTCAAAGGTGCTTGTACATTAACTGCATGTGTAATCTCTGTCTGGGTGGTAGCTCAAGAAATCCACGTCAGCTGTCTCACACACAAAACACATTATTTTGTCACTGTGACACCATAAGGACTTCATTGTCCTAATCTCAGATTTTACATGAAGTTTTAGGAATTAAAAGTTGCTGAATCCAGTTTTATATGGAATTGGGTAATTTTGTCCTTGATCCAAGAAGCAAAACATCATAAGCCAACCCTGCCCACCCTCCCATCCTCGTAATTGAGGGAAGAACAAGGTCATCAATGCTATCAATCACTGCAGGTAATCCAGAGTATACAGCACAAGGCTTGCTCAGATGTAATCCTATCCATTTCACTAGTTGTTGTTTAGTCTTTAAGTCACGTCCTACTCTTTGTGACCCCATGGACCAGAGCACGCCAGGCCCTCCTGTCTTCCAATGCCTCCCAAAGTTTGGTCAAATTCATGTTGGTAGCTTTGATGACACTGTCCAGCTATCTCATCCTCTGTCATCTCCTTCTCTTCTTGCCTTAATCCCAACATCTGGGTCTTTTACACTAGTTCACTAGTACCTAATACCTAGGTAAGTGCTGATCAAACGACAACATTTATAGCCCATGAGCAGAATTTAGGTATGTTGGCCTGGTGTATTTGGGCTTCAAATTCTCGTAGATAAACCAAGTAAGTAAATCAAAACTTGCAACTATAAAGGAAGACATACACAACCTCCTTCTCTCAAAGTATTGGATAAATTATTTAGCCCACAGCGCCACCATGTCCCAATTAGAGTAGGGCCACTCAATTAGTGGAATTCAGAGAAAATGTGACTCACTGAATCCCCACTGATTCAATGAGCCTACTCTGCTTGTGACTTACTACGCTAGGCAACAGAATTACAGCTATAGTATTATAATAACCAGAGACCAAGAGTAACGATTCAATGAGCCTACTCTGCTTGTGACTGACTACGCTAGGCAACAGAATTACAGCTACAGTATTATAATAACCAGAGACCAAGAGTAAAGAAATTCAGGAAAGCTTTTAATGGAAATCAGTATAGTGTTAAGACAAATGTCCTCAGTATTTTTAAATTCATGTTTAATGAATTAATGTACCAGTTATTCTAGTTTAGACTGTAATCCTATACACACTTATCTGCAAGTAAATCCCACTGAATTTGGCAGAACTTACCGTACTTTTGGCTAAGAATACATAGCTTGCATTATTAGAACATTACAGATTGGGTGTAATGGGCTGCATTTCTTCTAATCCAGATCAATTGAGCCACAATAAAACAATATCAGGAAAACGAACCCCAGAAAAGATCCACAGTGAAATGGTATCCAAAAGACAGTTTTATCATTAGGCAGAGCAAAGTGGCTGACTCAGGCAGATTTGGGATCTCAGGAAAAAAAACAAATAAGTAGTTATTAATTATTGGTATACTTTTAGTGCCAGAAAAATTACAAGAGGTACTTGAGGATTTTCTGCCTCAAGTGTCAAAATACCTTGATTGGCCTTGGATACTACCTAGCATGACTATGGCAGGAGGAACAGCTGTCTCAGGTAGCAAAACGACTTGAGCTTGCTCACACTGTCCACACTAAGCACAGGGTGGATTCCATCTAAATCACAATTTAAATAATGATTTAAAATTTAAAAATAGATTTTTATGGTATAAATAAAATAACATTTTTATTTAGATTGTGATTTAAATCTATGATTTAAATTTAAACAATGATTTTTATTTAAATCATTAAAATCTGATTTTTAACATTCAATTTTAAATCATGATTTAAATCTATCCTTTAAAAAAATAATAATTCATTTTTATCCACCCTGCAGTCTTACATGACAAACCTATCCACACCAATTCAAAATAAGTCTCCCTGTAGTAAATGTGAACTGAGATATGCTTTCATTTACATGTTTGGTACATCTGTACCAAGAATTGCTATAGTGATGAAGCATACAGGGGATGATTCAGATTACTATTAGCCACAGATATATCAGTTCTTGCAGTGTGAAATAAATATATGTATGACAGTTTCTCACAAAACAGCACCTACTGTAATTTAGCAAAATGCTAACATGCCATGCTTCCTCTTACATTATCCTTTTAATTAACATTCCTCAGAAGCCCCCCCCCCATTTCCAGGGTTGCCAGTTTGGCTTTGCTGAGGCTTGATTCACATATGGCCCTCTGCTGGCCTACAGCTCTTATTTTATTGTTCATTGTAAAACTGGTGGGTTTTTAAAAAAGGGGGCAGTTTTCCAAAGTTCTCCATAATACAATAATATAACCTTTGGACTGGATATCTGGAAGGGACCCTATGGATCATTGAGTTCAGCCACTGTCAGGGTGGCACAATGGGGAATCAAACTCTCAACCACTGAGTAAACTACTGAGCCATACAAACACATACGCACATGCTATGGAAACACAGTACTCTACTGTAGTTCATTGAAGTTGTTTCTGTTTCACATTTATTTCTCTCTCTTCATTCAGAGGTTGTCTAGAGATTTCCTGTCAATATAAATTGAAGGAATAATTAGTTATTTCAATTTTATATATGAAGAAAAAAAATCTAGAAGTGTGATTTCAGTAGGTCCCTCTAAAAATACTGAGCTATTCTTCCAGAAATATTTAAAAAAGAAAAAAAACTGACATACTATGGTAGGGCTTAAACAGATGTTATTTATTTATTAGGCTCTTCCCCCAGCTGATGTAAGAGTATCTAACAAACTGCTCCTCAGCAACCTGTCATCATCCAAACCATACTTGAGGCAAGACCTGTTTAGCTCCAGAAACAGAAAGCTACTGTAGCACAGAAGAAAAAGAACAAATGGGGAGACATCACTTCCGCTGGAATGGCGGTGCACAGCTGAATTTTCATCTCTTCACCCTGGAATCTAAAAAGGATGGTAAATGCCCTTCTCCCTGCCTGAACTGTGAATAAACAGTGTTTAAACTTCTTATGAAAACTTCAGGCAAAGATAGAAATACACCGTCCTTTATCTAAAAAAGGCACTTTCACTTTCACCCGAGGGAGGCTGCTGGAGAAGCAGAAAATAATGGTCTGTTAAACACGGCTTGGCTTCTTAAGATATAAATCTTTGTCTTGTATATACATGGGTAAAGGCAGAGATAAGAAGAAGATTAAGGGGTGGGTAGTGGACAGTCATATAAACCATCAGATAATAGCCTCGAATGCATTGCCTGTTTAAAAAGGGTGGAAGAAGGGGAAGCTACGGAAGAGGCATCAAGCAGCTCTCTTGAAATCCACATGGAAAAAGTTTCAGACCTTGCCTCCTCCGTGAAAGGAATGGAAGGTCAACTTGAACGGCTTCTCTCTAAAATGGACATTTTAATAGGAGGATATCAACAGATGAGACAAGACTTACAAAAACTGCAGGGAGAAATGGCAGATATTAAGACAAGTTTAGATAAAACAGAGGGCAGGTTACAACAACTGGAAGACTTTCAGGGCAAGGTGGAAAAACACCAGGAGACGATTAATGAGCTGGAAAAAAAATCATTTTTGGAAGATAATTCAAGACGTAATAATATTAAAATAATGAATTTGGAACATAAGAAAGAAATAGATTTGAGGCAGGAAGTGGTAGATTGAATTAATTCTGTGATGAACTCCCAACAAGTGGCTGAGGAAGATATTAAGATAGTACATTTTGTTGGGAATCCAAAAAGAAACAGAAGACCCATAATATTGAAATTTTTTAACTATGTCAAGAAAGATCAGTTTCTCAAGGTCATTAAAGAAAAACCTGAATTGCTAGTTTATAGATCAGTCCAGATTTATCAAGATGTAAGTTCTGAAACCATTCAGTAGAGGAAAACAATGAAACCTATCACTTCAATTCTAACTAAGAATGGCAAGAGATACAACTGGGGCCATCCTGTCTTTTTGAAAACATGGAAGGATGGAATCCTACACGAATCTACTCCTTTGAAGAGGGGAAAAATTTGATGATGGCCTGGGGACTTTGGCAAGAAGACGAGAGCATACAAGGGACAAGCAAGTAGCTCTGTAAAGACGGGTGGTTCGAAAGAAAAGATACCTTGAGAGAAGATATTTTTGATTGGAAGAGATTAATGGACATTACTGGATGTCAGAATAATCTTTTTTTAAATTCTTCCCCCCCTTTCCCCCTTTTTTTCTCCCACCCCCCCCCCTTTTCTGTAAGAAAGTCATTTTTAGCCCTGGTTAACAATTTCATAGATCTTTTGCACCAGTATAGTTTCCCTGTGATTTGCTCCCCCCCCCCTTTTCAAACTGTTGGCTTGGTCTCTCCCTTTTCATTTTACCTCTTTTTGGCAGCTGGTGTAAGTCATGATATCCCAAACTTGATTTGCACAAGACAAATCATCCATTTAAAAAATCATATCACAAAACTTGTCTACATCAGGCAAGACTCCCATCACCAGTTGGGTCAGATTCTTTTCTGACTCTTTAGACATTCTAATCACACTAACGATCATTTCAATTTTTACAAAACAATCAACAGACGGACCGGTATTTACATTAAATACCCCTGTGGGCATGTCAGACCCTGTGCTTTCAGCCTTTCAGGTGCCCCTTCCGCCCCTTCACGTTATGAGGTCTTACTGGCATGTTGTTGCCTGAACTCCCAGCGTCCTTGGGTCTTTTGTGGGTTGCTTCTATAGTCTGATCTAAAAAAAAAAGAGACAATACATGTGAAAGGCACACCTCAGTGATATTTCCCTTTCTCTCTCTCAAACACACACACACACACAAGAGAGAGAGAGAGAGAGAGAGAGAGAGAGGATTTTTCTTGAGCAGTTTCCCACCCCAAAAAACACATAGAACAGCCACCATCCCCTTTAAATGGCCCAAGAAAAAATGCAATTTAATTTTTCTATAGGACAAAGGAGATACCCCTGTTAAAGCTTTATACACGCAAACACATTGACAAAAAGGCACTTAGAACCTTTCTGTCATTTCTCTTCCTTTTAAATGTATTCCTGGGTAGAAGCAGTTTTCTTGGGTTTTTGTTTTATAGCTTTTATTTTAGAACTAGCGTTCCCAATGGCCTTCTTATCTAGAACATAAGACCTCTTATTTCAGTATTTCTGCCTACTTTTTTTGTCTAAGGATGTGGACTGAATATTGTGTTCAACAGCTACTTACCGCACCAGATTGCTCACAGCGCTGCTGCTTAGGTGGTGGCATGGTTGTGGCTCCATCAAAATAATCTTCAAAAGATTTTTCTGAAAAGGACATTATCTTTTTTTCCCATTCAGAAGCCTCTATAAAAAGTACAAGTAGCTTATAAAGGATCAAACTACTATATATATAAGACACAACATTTTAAAAAGCCCCAAACAAACTGCATTAAGAGACAATGTCTATATGTGAAATAGCTTATAGCATCAAACTATATAAGACACAAAATTTTAAAAAGCCCCAAACAAACTGTATTAAGAGACAATAAGTCCGGGACATCCAGATCTTTCTGGTATAATTCCTGTATATTCTTGCCACCTCTTCTTGATGTCTTCTGCTTCTGCGAGGTCCCTACCATTTTTGTCATTTATCGTGTCCATCTTTGCACAAAATGTTCCTTTAATTTTTCAAATTTTCTTGAACAGATCTCTGGTTTTTCCATTTCTATTATTTTCCTCTATGTCTCTGCACTGTCCAGTTAAGAAGGCCCTCTTGTCTCTTCTTGCTATTCTTTGGAAGTCTGCATTCAATTTTCTGTAACTTTCCCTATCTCCTTTGCATATTTCTAAGGCCTCGTTGGACAGCCACTTTGCTTTCTTGCATTTCCTTTTCTTTGGCATGTTTTTTGTTGCTGCCTCCTGGACAATGTTATGAGCCTCCATCCATAGTTCTTCAGGCACTCTGTCCACCAAATCTAGTTCCTTTAATCTGTTCTTCACTTCCACTGTGTAATCATAAGGAATTTGGTTTAGATTATACCTGACTAGCCCAGTGGTTTTTCCTAATTTCTTCAGTTTAAGCTTGAGTTTTGCTATAAGAAGCTGATGATCAGAGCCACAATCAGCTCCAGGTCTTGTTTTTGCTGACTGTATAGAGCTTCTCCACCTTTGGCTGCAGAGAATATAATTAATCTGATTTCGGTATTGCCCATGTGGTGATTTCCATGTGTGGAGTCGCCTCTTGTGTTGTTGGAAAAGAGTATTTGTGATGACTGGCTTGTTCTCTTGACAAAACTCTATTAGCCTTTGCCCTGCTTTGTTTTGAACTCCAAGGCCAAACTTCCCTGTTGTTCCTTTTATCTCTTGACTCCCTACCTTAGCATTCCAATCCCCT